TTTTTATAGAAAAAAGGGCTTTTGTGACAATATAAGTATTTGTTGTTGTAAATATTGCTTAGTAAATAAAAATAAATAAATAATTATTGTAATGTTTTTTTGATATTATTTGATATTTTTGATAATTATATTTGTTTAATATAAATATTTTCTCTATTTGCAGATCTCATATATATCTAAGATATTAGAAATAGAAGCAGCAAACCAACAGAAGGTTTCACTTACAATATAAAATCCTACGTTTAAAGCTGTCATCATTTAAAATTCAAAGCATTTACTACAAATCACCAATTAGTGAAATTTATCAACGTTAAAGACTCAACACAAAAGGCTTTTTTAAAAATTATATTATTCAACGAAAAAAATATATATATACACAATAACGTAGCCGTTTTATATAATTTTACATTAAAATGACGTAAGTAAATATTTTTCTTTTTTTTTTTTTGTATATTATATTTACATATTTTAATTAAAAATTATCACTGCAGTTGTGCATTTCAGTACCTCCTTCATTGTTCTTTTTTAATATTAGCTCAGATATTTTAATAAAATGTTATAATTTTTTTTTTTTAGAAATTGTTTTAGAAAATTTTAAATTAAAATTAAATGTAAAGTGTAAGATTATTTTTAAGTCTTGATTATTTTTAATTTTACAAATTACATTAAATTTTAATTAAATATAATATATTCTTAATTTTAAAAATTACGTAAAAATTTATAGAAAAATTTTATTTAAATAGTTTAATTAGTTCCGAATTGAATTTGAATTAGAATCACTTTAAAAAACCAATTACTTAGACATTTTATTAATATATATGCAATGACTTCCCAACACTTTCTAAATCTAAATCTAATCTAATATATGCAATTAATGTTTTTCATAATACTATATCACTCACCCTATAATTTATTGGGTCTGTGTCAAACACTGGTATTAGTTATTCCCAGTTAAAGGCCGTAGTATAGTTAGTTACCTTACAAGTCGCAAAAACTCTTAGAACTCTTAGATAATTAAATATTTATGATAATATAGTATACTAAATATTTCTATTAAAATCTATGGACTTTCATAAATAATTTTCAGGTGTATATTTATACACCTTAATGTCTTTATCATAAATTTCTAATATTTAAGATTGAAAGAACTTTTTCAGAAATTGCAAGTATGTCAAAACATTATGATTGAACCAAATGTCAATAATAGGGGTATTCACTCTGTCTTGCAAACTCATTGCAAGGTGCATGAGAAGTCAGTGAGGGCTGCTAGAATAGCACTGTATATTAAACAAAGTAAAATCGATCATTATGTGCTAAACTGCTATAGCTTTACTTTTACGGTTTCTTGATATTATAAGCTTACTTAGACAATGTGATGTTAAGGTATATTGTATGCAAAAGTTTGGAAAGCTGCTATCACTCTACTGTGGGCGTGAAAACCCTGTGAGTTAAAAATTTACCACAAATATTATTCCAATCATAAACACAGAGAAAGAAACGGACCCTATACGTTTGGGGTTTCAAAAATTTGTGAATTTCAAGAAATTATGGATAAATTAATTCCTTTGAAGATTAGGCGCAAGCGCGTTTCTAGTGTGGGAATAAAAACACTGAAAAAAAGGAAGTTTATGAATCACTTAAATAGTAATAAAAAAATAGAATATTTTTTACACAAAATCTTTAATATAAAGGGCTAACTATAAATCGAGGTCGTCATTATGAGCACTAAGTAATTGTCTAATTGTTTATATATCTTCAAATTAATTTGTTATATTTGTTTTGTATATTTCCATCCAAGTGAGTGGATTCCAAGTTAGAATTAAGTGTTTTCCAAGGGTGATAGATAGTTTGTAATTCAATTAAGTCTACATTTGAATCACTAATTTTTAATTTTAATATAGTAAATTGTATCACAAGGGTTAAATAAAGAATGGCGGCAGTGTTGTGACACATATAATAATTTTTCTAAAATGCTACACCACAACAAACTCCTGGAAAATGATTTCAGGACATTGACCGTATTTTTTTTATTTCCATAAAACATTTTTCCAAAAAAATTACAAAACTAATTATCATTAACTAATAGTAGCGATTTTAATGGCACAAGCCAAAAAACTGTAAAAATCTAGGTGCTTAGGTCATTTATTATTTTACTTCCCCGCTCGTACTTTCACGACTTGCTGAAATAGTAAAAATCCTCTTTTTTAAAGTATTGTTTTAATATCCTTATGGCGCAATCTAATTATTATGCTATACCTTAGAGAAAGTCATATGAGGTTGTCCCTTTATTGTTTTGTTGCTATTGTTTACTTGTTAACTAATGTGTTTATTGTATGCGTTTCAGCACGCATTTTACACTGAAAATTTTGTTGGGTGAGGCACTATTTTATTTTGTCCTTTAAATTTTATCTACAAACATATATATATATATATATATATATATATATATATATATATTAATGTATATGTATTATATTATTTATTTTTGTTATGGTCTCATGTCCCACTAATATATCCTATCTGGCCAAGCTGCTTAATTTATTTAACCTAATATATAATTTTTGTGGCATTCTACTGCTCGGTCACAAATATGGGTGTGCGTAGCAGTAGTAGTGCCAGATAGCGGAGTAGAAGTTTGCTTTATAGACATAGAGTTGTGAACATGTGAATTGCGTATTTTGCGGTGTGAATCCCAAAGCATCAGATACTCACAGTTTTAAAATTAATTTTCAACAAATTTTCCGTTTAGTAGCATGAATTGTTCTTTTCATTTGGGTTTTCCTCTCCTTATTTTCCTCAATTTCATTTAGTTTTTTTCTGCTTGACGGATGAGTAAGTTCATTCAAGTTCGGTTAGTGGATGAGGTTGTGGATGATGTGTGTTTTAGTAGTCAGTAGATTGAATACGCAGCCAAAGTAGGCACCACATTAAATGGGAAATATTTGCCAACAAGAGCAGTAAGTTGTGATATTCTATTATCGTTTCTCGTTGCGTATTAGCACTACTGGTCGGATTTTGTATTCATATTAGTCTTTCGTTGTTGGCATAAATATATATTGTCGATAAATAGTTTCAGTGATTAAAATTTTAATATATATATATTTAAAAAAAATAAATGGCGGGATATGGTAATTACTGTTATAAATGGAAACCACATAATTGCGATAAAATATAAAATAAATGTGTAAAAATAAATTCTGATATAATAAATATTTTGAATATAAATAAAAGCTAAATAGGAAATTAATATTTAAATTCTGTTATAAATTAAGCAATATAAATATATTTAATATAAATATTTTTATCGTGTTAGTTATTGCTATTCCAATCGTACTAAGCTGTCGTATAAATAAATAAATAAATTAATGTTTTCATTATTAATCTAACTTAAGCAGTGATAATATGCAAGTACATATGTTTGCAGTATCTCAGAACATATATTGCTTGATAAAATAAAGCTGAATATTTTACATTGCAAATTAAAGCTTTAAATAATATGAATTGTTTTGAACCATTAAACAATAATTTTATTTTTTTAATGTGCTAATCGTTAAATAGATAAATAATACACTTTTTACAAAGAAAATATATAGTATCCTGATGGGTGTTGATCCCCGTGCTGCCAGATACACGCTTCTGGTTATGACACAAGTGAAAACTCACTCACTACGATTTATACTCAAAACAATGGCGGATGGTTCCGGGAATTTAGTCGCCTCTATGACAGTCATACGTTACCACGCGAATATGCTAACCTTTTAACCGCAGGAGGGCAGGAGTAATGAGAAGTTAAATTGTGATTTATATTCAGTAATTTGGTTCAAAAGTTTCGATTAGTGTAATAGTGCATTTTGGTGTCTCAATGCTTAAAAACGCCAATTTAGAATTGTTTAAAAAATCATAAAGACAAATCAAAATTGTTTTTACTGTTGTTTGTTTTAAACAAAATATTCTGGGCTTTACATCGTCTGTCGTTCTCAATACAATACTTTGGTACTGGGTATTTGAATAATACTGATAGCATCACAGTTCACTTCTATGTCAATGTTTAAAAAGCAAATGTTTGTCCTTTGGTGCCGCCTTGTTTATGTCTAATCCTAAGTAATTAGGAAATATTGAGTTCTAAACAAAACTTAATATTAAATCTCTTATTTATAAAATCTTATTTATAACATTATCACTTCTGAGGAACTAACCTCACTTCTATCCTGCCCAATATTTTCATTTGCTATTACAAATATTTAATTTTAAAAAGTGCCATTTGCTTTGGAAAGCACCTTCTATCTTAAAGGCTTAGTTAGACGGTAGGTAACGTAAGAAATTAATTCGAAGCGAAATGCACAAACAACCAAACCTGCGTACTTGTAGGAACGAAATAAACAATGTTCGCCGCTTTTATTTATTTTGTTCCTATCAAATGCGCAGGTTTGGTTGATTGTGCATTTCGCTTTGAATTAATTTCTTACGTTACTTACCGTCTAACTGAGCCTTAAGTTTTGTTATTATTCTACCAGTACCATAGTCAAAATTGTGTCAAATAGGGATCACATGCGAAAATATTTCGCATGTATAGATATTTCGAAAATATCTATTCGTGAAGGCTTCTCCTCCCTGGAGAAGACTCCTACCACTTTCTTCTGTCCATATTTAAAATTAAAGAATTTCTCATTTTCTATTTTGTTCTTCGATAGCTTTAAAATACTTACAAAATTGTTGCAATGGAGAAATGCTGCTTATCGTTGATGCCACACTTACTACTGCTTTTTATAGGTATATGAGTTTTTCTTCTATTATTTTAAAAAGCAAAATTCAATTAAAAAGCTTAAAGAAAAACATGATAATCAATTTGTTGTTAATATTTTGTTTGAAATCATATTGCATCTTGTTATATGCAGCACTTCAGTAATTTTGTTGGCTTCAGGTAGCCTCTCCACTTTCCATGTTTGTTCTACATAAGCAATGATGCAGCAGATAACATCATCAGTCGGCCTATCTTACAATTGCCTCTCATTCAACGTGGATGCTCCATGCAACCAAATTGGCAGTAAAAGTGCTTTTTACTTTAATTGATTCGAAAGAGTGGCAGGCGCTTAGTGTTGCATGCAACAGTATTTCCTTCAAAATACCTTAAAGTAATTAAATTTATTAAACTTTCTTATCGCGGCAATTTAAAAATTTAATTTGATGAAATTGCATAATTCTTAAAAGAATATTATGTATCAGAAAACAAAA